GGTCTAATGAAAGTCTGATGATGAGATGAAGGAGATAGTTGGAGGTTATATTATTAATAGTAGTCGAGCGAGAAGTCGATTATAAATGATACAAGATAAAGTGTTGACGATGGTCATCAGGTGAAGGACCAATGATGGCGGTGGTTGATTTACACTCTATTGAGAGTAGTAGGTAGCCATGCTAACAACATTAGAAAAAACCTTATGCGAACCTAATCACAAAATGTCATGTGAAATGATTCTACTCAAGTACTAAAATATGTGAGCAAACATAAACAAAATTAGTCCAATTAATAAGGGTCTCAATGAAAATTATCATGATTTTGGAGTCAATCGTCATTTATGTCATAAGAAGCTCTCATCTTACATATTTTCGGATGGGCCTTAAAGTAAGAAAGTACTTATACACGTAATAAAAGTTACAGTATTTACGATTATGGTTTAAATCAAATCTACAAAACAATTGAAATACTAGCAAAAACATTCAGATCAAGCTCTAAGCATACCAAGTAACACATACACAAGAACATAGGAAACAAAACAATAATGTTTATCAGCTTCAATATATATGGGGTTTTCTTGACTGATAAATACGATTTAGATTTCATAAGAAGTCTGGATTTAGGTTTTATTTGAGACGGTTTTCTTATTGTTTTTTCAACAGCTTTTTAGTTCAAAATTGTACTAGAAAGTTGTTTCAGGAAGCGATAAAACATCATTCCTAATGAAACTTTAGGCTTCATTTTGAATATTTTTTCATTGTTTTACTGTTTAGATAACAATCACAAATTTTCGGCAGATGCATTAAAAAAGATTTTGTACTAAGAAAAAATTTTCTACAATAATTTAAAAAAATTATTTTTACAGCAGCTTTATAAAACTTTTAAAAAGTTTTCCAAATGGAGTCTTAATATATTTTTTTTGCGTTAAAAGAATAGGAGGTTTGCTTGACTATTAAATATTATTTTGATTCCATAAGCCTAGATTTATGTTTTATTTAGAATAATTTTTTCCTGTTTTATTTTTCAGATAGCAATCAGAGTTCTTTGGTATGTATTTTTTTTTTTCCTACTTTATAAAAAAATTGTACTAAGAAACTGCTTCGTTTGGGATAATTTTTTGTTGTTTCTTAAAGCAGTTTTCTAATACTAGAAAATTACTTTAAGAAGTAGTGAGAAAATCGTCCCAAACAATTCTAAAAGATTATTTTTTAAAGCCAACTCTACATAGCAATAAGAAAATATTTCTAAAGGAAGCCTTAATAAAAAAGGAGGAATAAGCTCTAATAATTTGTTAGGAACATAAAAATCTGTGAGAAAAAATGAGATTTATCAACATAATACTATTTAAAGTCCAAAAAAAAAAGCCTAAATAACAAATTAAACTTTAAAGAATGGTGATCATCGAGCTTAACAGTTATGCCGGACTTTACTGAACAGACGAGAAGCCGTTGATTCCACGTTAATTTTCTTGTACTTTATTTCACCGCTATCTCCCCAACCGGTTTGAACTAAATTATTTTATAAGGAAATCATTTTCTTAATACTTTAATTTGAATATTCTATTTTGTTTGGCTTTGTATTGAATAGGCAGCTCAATCATTTCTACGGGCGAAGTCTACAGTAGAGATGTAAAGGAGCTGGCGTTGAAACTGGAGGTGTTTCACGCCTTAGGGCATCTCCAACCGACCTCCAAACGCTTGAATGGAGCTCCCGGCCAGCTCCAGCCGAACTGCAAAATTTCTGCTATATGGCTGCGGGTGAACAGTGGGACGCCAATATTGGCGTTGCACTGTTCATCTCCGCCATTTTTACCACTCTACCGAACTTGTCGCGGGAAAAAAAGAGGCGACGGTTAACTGCAAAAGGGTGAAAAACGCGTTCCATTGGAGATGAAATCACGGCATTTTGTAGTTTCCGGCATTTTGGAGTGAAAAATGAGATTTTCGGTTGGAGATGATCTTAAAGCAATAGAATATTCATAGTGGATCAAATATGATGGAACACATGTGAAAAAAAAAATAAAAAAGTTCGCGAATTCCTGGTATAAATTTAAATCAAGAATATTTATTTTATTTAAAATTAAGTTTCTTACTAGCTAAAATATTCTAAACGTTAAAGTAGAGAAATTTTTTGTCTTAGTGCTGCACAGATACTTATCACATAAATAGAGAAATTAGAAACACAAGAATTTTTATGTGAAAAAACTTAAAAAAACATAAAAATAACGGGGTTGCACATAGTTAAAATGATTCTGTTAGTGTTTAATTGATTACAAAAATCATAGCTAAACTTGAGAATGATTAGATTACAAAAGTCCAAGAGGTGAGATGAATTTCTTATGGATGGTGACAGTCAGGTATGTGTCTGACGATATAGAGTGAAAGTCCCACAACTGTCAAGCAGATGTCCGACAAGGGTCGATGGCTGGGCGGATGTCCGGCGACGTTCGGTGGTCGGATGAAAGTTCGGCGATGATTGGTGCTCAGCGGTGGTCGAGGGGGGAGAAATCTGATGGCAAAAGAGCTCCAATTTTCTTTTATTCTTTCTCTTACTTACAATGAAAAATGAATGATCTATTTATAGTTTTTTATGAGTCGCATGACCAGTAAATAAAAAGAAGATTAAATGCACATTAAGAGTATTTCAAATGATCGATTAATAGCAACTCCCTTGATCATGGGTCGTTTATCAAGTATTTAAGTACATAAATGATGTCATAATTTGATGATCTTGGCTCATTGGATTTTTCTCACCGAGCCGCTCAATTCGACAATTAGCATGCTATATTTGGTATAATTTGATTATCCAAAATATTCTTTGAAACTTCAAAATATACCTCGGGGCCCTCAATTTGGACTCATTTGGGTTCGGCCTGAACTGATTTTGGTGTTGTTGGGTTCACCTCTTATAGGCAATCAATTCGACTATAAGTTTGCTGAAATTGGAGCACGGCCAACTTCAGATTTAATTTTGGAAGTTTTCAATTATAATTTGTCTCGAGATTCATGCCATTTCAGGATAATTTTTGATGATATATCCAATTTAAATGTTTCATAGATGAAGATGCTCAAGTTAATGAGTGACTTTAAATATGTTTATATCTTAAAAAGTTGAAATAGCTCCCCTTACAAATAAAGTTAGGAGTCGTTTTAGATATTTTGGTCATATAAAACATTATATTTCCAATGACTAGGAGAGTAGATGTGTTACATCTAATTTATGTTAAGGAAGTTATAGATAGACTTCAAAAAATTTGTTAAAAAAAATATTTTAAAATGTCATTTTTTTATATTTAAATTAGAATTTGACAATTAATAAGACACAATATTGAAAATGATGCATAAAAAACAAACCCTACGTAGAAAGATTAAAGACTTGATGTTATTGTATAAATATATGATTTATGATTATGCTAATATACAACTTTAATCTTTTAATTAAATATATTCTCAAAATTTAAACCCCATCTTCAAAAGAGTACTTGAGATAACTTTTGGCCAAAAAATGTTCACTATTTTTCAAAAATCTTTAAAATAAAAAACTTTTTGATACCATACTCTAAAAGGTCTTCAACTTATGAACTTTTATTAGGTCCTTTGACCGGATGTAGCTCTACGTTCAGTTATCATTGAGTTACTCGGTTTTTTCTCGGTGTTTGCTCGGTATTGCTTGGCGATAACGAGAAATACCGCTCTGTGAAGATCAATACCGAGTAATACCGAGCAATATCGAGTAATACCGAGTTTTTTCTAAAACTCGGTATTTTCTAGAAAAACTCGGTATTACTCGATATTGCTCGGTATTTATCTTCACATAATGGTATTTCTCGTTATTGCCGGTATTACTCGATATTTGCTCGGTATTTTTCATTTTGTGTCTGCTACGTGGCGCGATCTTAACGCCGGCCAAACGTAGGTCTACGTACGTTCACCGGATCAAATAAAAGTTCTCAACTTATAGATTAAGACTTTGTAAAGCAGTTTTTAATAAAAAAAATTTTGAAGTATAAATTTTTGTACTAAAAAGTTATAAAAAAGTTGTGCCAAATGAAACCTCAGATAAAGTTCATTAGATGTTTAAGTGCAATGATGTCCACATTTTCATTTAAATTTTCCGATTAAAATAATTTCTAAATTTTGTGTTAAATAATGCGTATAAATTTGCTTTTTTTTTTTAAAAGATGTTAATTGTTTTTCTTGACAACAAACGCAATGATTCACAACCAAGAAAATTAAATGTGATGCAAAACATTAAAGAAAATGACTAATTTTATCTTAAAATATTATGCAAGAACATTTAATGATCTTATCATTAGAAAATATATTTACAATTATACAGTGAACTATCTAAGATTACTCTACTTAGAATTAATTAACTACAGCTAGCATGGATTATGATAGGATTAGTTGTGCAGTGCATCCAATCCCTACTTAGGGCATCCTCAACTGAAAAATTCATATTCACTCTAAAATATAATAATACTTCTTTAACCAAATTCCATTTCATAATTCAAAAAGTATAAATTATGATTATATTCTTTTAAAAATATAAAAAATGATTTTTGTGACCGCGAATAGTACTTTTGTGTTCGGGTGGAGCAGTTCACAGTTGACAAATGCTGGGTTATCGTTCACTTGGAGGAGAAATTATTCTATGCGAACATCGGGCAATCCGAAGTCCAATCAAAACGCACCACGCCACCTGGTACGCAGCGGTACCCAACATTGATACCGAGCAAAAAAGTAACGTGAAGCATTCTGATTAGCCTACGAACAACATTCGGTATCCGCACAAAATAATTCATCCGCTTGAAGATGACCATACATACTAACAATCTCATGAATATATGAACTAAATCCTGCCGGAAGAGACACAAAAATGTCTCAAGATTTCAACTAAGAAGAACCTAACATATCCTAATGAATCTATTTAATCTAAATTACTGAAAATTCAATGCTCGCATGTGATACGTAACCCTAATGTCGGTTGGACGTCGCCTGCCTTCCGGATAGTCCGGATTCGAATTTCTCCAATACGACCGTTGACTAACGGGTAATCGGATACTAACCCGAATCTGTTAAGGAAAACTCAATGCCTTCACCGCCTCTTGGGTCACCCAACGCATACAAATTCATTCCCGTTTTCTCCTCCCTCTCTCGCATTCCAGGGAGCGGATTTGGCTACGAAGCGCGCAAAGGGAATCCATTTCTCTTTCAATAGTCCAATCCCAATCACGATAAAGCAGATAATTCCGATTGAATTCCCGTCCAGGTCGAAATCTCTTCATATCGTTCGCGTTATATCATCTTAATTGTTCATCGTTTCTGCTTGATTAGTTTTTATTTTTATTCACGTTTAGGTTGTTCTTTTTGTTTCACAAAGATTGGTTCTTTCGCTCATTTTGGGTTTACGGATTGTTAAGGGATTTCGCCGTCTTGCGGCCCAATTTTTCCGGCATCTTTTTTTTCAAAATTGTCCGCGGCTTGTTTTATTGGAGGACAGGTCAACGCAAGACTTGTTTTCTGTTACCTGTTGGGATTTAATGCAGGGAGCATTGGTTATTTATTAATTTCCTGCGTTAGAGTGCTTCATTACCTTGATGTTTTTTATCTTTTGTTGACGGATGGTTGGCTCTTTCAACGAATGCTCTCTAATTTGCTCATGTGGTCACGCGGCCTTCCCATTGAAGAGTTTATTTGCCGGAAGCTTCATATTTACAGAAATGTTTTGTTTGCTAGATTGAATGGTTTGGACCTGATCGGTGTTCATGCTATGTTTGTTTAAGATTTGGACTATTGAACAAACCTGCTGATGTTAAATTTTATAGTTTTTGAGTTTAAGTTGATTAGTGTTTATTTTAATCTGAAATTTCCTAGGTTTCTTTCTTCTTTCTTTTATATCCCTTCAAGTAATATTTTAGCTGGCATGATGTCTTGTTCTACCTAACAGAACCAAGTATTCTTGCTGACTTAAACAGGAGTTAGTTCAAGAAAACATCGAGTTCCCAATTTTTAGATGCTCCATTTAGAGTTTGTTTGCGGCAGCTTATTTACTGTTTTGATTTCAGGATAGTTGCCACATTATGTTTGGCTACACCTCTCTTTTGGTTTTTCAAAAATTTCTGTGATGAGAAACTTCTTCTTAGAACAAGTTCTTTTAGAGTATAACAACAACAATATCGAGCCTTTGTCCCGTTATGTGGGTCGGCTACATGAATACTTTTTCGTCATTGAGTCCTGTTAAAAGTTAACAAGTTCTTTTAGAGTGCGCTAAAAAAAATTATCTGACATCTTAAAATAAAAAAAAATTATAATCCTGACAATAACTTTTGAAAATTTATTTTTCCTATAATAATTTTACAACTTTTTCACATATAATTGCATCTCCCCAAATGAATAATTATTCTAAATTATAAGAAACAATATTATAATTTGATATTTCCTCAACTTCATCTTTTATTATTATTATTTTTTTTTTTTGGTGTTTGATTGATTTTTGTGAAGAAAGTGTTCAAACGTAAGTAAAATAAAATACTAGTAAACATTACCAAATAAAAGTATATTTTCATAACATTCTTTGTCCCAACACCCAGGAAGCTCTTTTTTAACGGCCATCCTTATACTTTTACTATTTCTAATAAATGAGAGGATAATTACTGAGAGTTTTGTCTTGTCCCATACATGAGATATTTGTCCATGCCTATTTTTGGACTCTTTGTTCACTGCTTGCACATTGAAAGCATAAAACAAGTTTTTTGTTGTTTTCCAATCCTCTTCAACTTCATGAATTTCAAATGCTTGTGATGGACCGCTGTACCCAAAAACTTCTAGTGCTTTTTGAACTGTGCGAGGCTTTGTTCCACACAGCAAAGTATTAATGTATTATCCGCCATTCTACCTAATTATCTTCCCAGCGAAGTATTAACAGTCAGACTTTTATCATTCATACTTGAACAAAAAGCAAACCCAACATTTGGAATTAGGTAAAGGTTGACATATTTGTAAGTCTCCTGTGTGCACGTTTGCCATGATATTGTTTGTCATGTTTCTTCTTGTAGTCAGGCCTAATTCATTTATAAGTTAAGAACTGGTTAATGCTACAACACTTTGAGAATTACAGAAAATCAGAAAATTTGCTTGGGGGCTGCCACCGTCTAATATTTTTTTTTTCCTTTTTTGCTTTAAATTGGTCTTCTGGAATTCCAAACATGTAACTTTGCACTTGCCAGTGCATAACGAAACTGTTTTTAGAGTGCAATGGAACTTAATGGCATGCAAAATGTACAATAATCATACCATGGTTTCGATCATCAGATAGTCAAAGAGCTTGTACAGGTCTGATAGCATGAAAAAGTGTTTCAGTTGTTCTTCAAATGTGGCACTATTTACCATCCAAATGCTTTAGAGTTTCTACTCAATCAATATAGCCATATAGGGTGTAGCAGACAAGTTTTTCTTTATAAAGTTTCAATGGCCTCAAATTATTTTGTTAGGTGAATCAGTATGTTTTGATTCCTCATGAAGATGAGTATGCTCATTTCATTCTCAGATATTTTTGATTTATATCTACTCCTTAGTCCTTACAATATTTCTTGTGGTTCGAATATATCAGAGCTATCAATATTCATGCTCATATTATTTGGTGATCCAGATAACTTCTTTTGATGATCAAGGTCCAAAACTTGAAAATATGAGCAATCGTCACTATGAGTACAGTAAATCCAACTCAGGCAATCGTTATCATGAATACAGTAAGCCAGCCTCATCACCTTCTTTACATTGTATTATGAATAGCATGCCTCTTAAATTTTAATGACTTCTTAGAAAATAGAAATTTGTTGAATTTGCTTCTCTTGATTTTGAAGGTTTGCAAGGTGGAGGGAAGAGTAATCGCTACTATGACTACAACAAGTCGACCTCAGGTGCAGACAATAGATCCTGTTGTTGCATGCTTTTATGCACCTGTGTGTGTGTGTGTTTTTTTTTTTTTTTTACTTCTATCTCTAACCGCTCCATCTCAAGTGGTCTCTTATTAATTGGCCATGCATTCACTAATATATTCTTCTCAAAAGACCTTGTATGTCACCTCTAAATAAAGTGTGTGGGTTTCAAAAGACACCTTGCGGCGTTGTAGATGATTGATTGTATTTGATTAATACAATCTATAGGCCCATAGGTATCAATAGAAGGTAGATTAAATTTATATATCCTAAAAATTTTCCCTCCCAAAAATATAGCTCCAAATATGTTTTATTTTAATTCAGGGGTTCGAGGTTTTCCAAAAAAGTAAGCTCTTAATGTTAATTACATCTCGGGCGTGTATGAAAATATTCTAGATTAAGGAGTCTATTTGTGTTTAAATTAGTAATGATTGATGTAGTTCTAATAAGGTGAAAGTCAAAATGAATGCATGGTATGAAAGTGAAAACTATCCTAACAAGTGGGTATTACGCCCTTGTCTAAGATCTCATGGTTTTATCATTCCAGATTTGTCTGTATCTTTAATCTACTTAGTGAAGTGGCGACCCGAAGATTTTTATTAGAAACCATAGTTTACCTCATCTAATGAGACCTCGTAGACTAAGAGTTTGCACCTAGCCCTAGGTTGATAGATAGGAATTACACTTCACTTCCGTATGAGAGAGAAACCATGACTAGACTTAGGCTTTGTTTGGTACAATATTGTTAATGCTTTCTTTAGTATAAAAATTATTTGAAGTTGAAATTTTTTGTACTAGAAAGCTATTTTAGAACTCATTAAAAAAGTTGTCCCAAATAAAGACTCATAGTACTATATGGTGCTACCTATCAAGGTTGGCATGGCTACCTAGGCTATAAGGCTAAGGAAGGTATTTTTTCCATGTGGTGATGGTACTCTAGATTGGTCTTATAACTCAATCGCGTGAGATTGAGAATGCCCGAATATCTCCTTAATGTGGTAGAGAAGATAGGACGTATATGAAAAATGTGAACATCTTCTTAGTGCGGTAGAGAATATAGAATATACATGAATATCTTCATAATGTCGTAGAGATGACTAACATAGAATGAGATATTGAACATATCAATTTTGGTAGAGGAGATGTCAAAATGGGACTTACAATTTGATCGTGTGTGACCACAAAGGCAAGATGTCTTGACTCTTGTCATCCACATTGAGAAGATATCAAAGATGTAATGAAAACCCTGAATATGCCCTCAATGTGAACAATGGAAAGCTATATGTAGGATGAGACTTATAGCTTGATTGTGTGAAATCAAGCAAGACTAGACTTTCCTCGATATGGTAGAGATGATGTAAGAAACGAGACTTATAACTTTGTCGCATGTGACCAACCCAACTATCTTTCCAATGCGATAGAGAAGCTAGTAGCCTGGAATTACATCCAGCTTGGACCAGGAATGCCTACCGATTCACTTAATCACATGTTAATATATAATTTATATCATTCCTAAGGAAGATAGACACATCCTAGACGAACTAGATGAAGAAGGTGTCTATGGGTGTGTAATTTCTATATCTTGGTTTCCTATCCTAAGATATATAGATTCTCACTAAGGGGATGACATGCTGAGCATTAGCAAAGGCTAGATGCTGACCAAGTATGTATCTAAGTTACGTGTTTATGTCCAGTGTGACAAGCCCATTACGCTCAATCATTGCTCCCTCTGAAATTTTAGACTATGTGGATTATATTCTTTGAGTGGGCTAACCTACTAGTAAGTGATGTGTATACCTAGAATGCTAATAGTCTCTATGAACACTAACCCAGGCAGTATGAGGTTGCTACAAATTTACCCATACCAAGTGATGAACTTAGTGTGAATAATGAAAAGCCTACATATGAGTGTATAAGGCCCTATTTTTCATGTCTCTAATGCTTGCTACCCTAGGGTCTTCCTGCAAAACTAATGTGAGTGAACAATAAAATATGACTTCGATCACACCATATTATAGCTGCTAATTTAAATTGTTTGAATATTTGCATTCTATTTATAAGCTGCACAAGCCTAGAGTATAAACATAATAAAGAAGAAACAAGTACAAGGCCATACCTGCAAGTTTCGTATTGCGTAGTATCACATAATTAGATCAGTTTGCTAATTGTATATTCATAGTTGACACTTGGCGATGTTATGTTGATGCATTATCTCATGAGTATATGTGTTCATAAGACAATACATTAAACATCGATACAAATTCTTTGAGCTTTCAAATGCATAAAAGTGTAGATGATTTATGCATGTCAATTTATACATTTTGTGAATGCAAGTAGTCTAAGAATTTTTTTATAACTTGTGTATAAATAACTTAAACAAGTCATTTAGAACTTTGTTTCATTGTACAAAATATAATTATTTATACAATAAGATATCCTATTAAATTAGAAAATTAATAAACATATTTTTTTAATTTAATAGAGCTACCTTCATATTTTATAATAATTATATAATTTGTTAAAAATTAAAACCAAAAAATTCTTAGCTCTTTAAAATTTGATATATGAGAAGATTAAAGTTAAACTGCATTACATACTTAAGTGTGTGGTTGGAGACAACGAAAGTTTCATAAATTGTCTTTATTACTTTTCGTTTCTTCTTCTTTAAATTATCATAAATTTCTCTGGGAACGATTGTTGAGGCTCTATGCGACCAAGAGACAAGCGGGACGAGGCTTGAAGTACACTAGATGTAACACTCCATAATACCCCTTACTAGTAATGTAGAGTGTCATATACAAAAACATCACATTCATTCTTTACTTTTATCATTTCTCATTAATGTCATAGTTGAATAAAAGAACCACCAACAATTACATTTACTAAATACACAGAAGCATCTATTTAATTCAAATTTCATCACATAAATATGTACGTAGCCACTAAGAGAATCTAAAGTAGTACAACATTGAACAATCTATATACCTCAAATATAGACTCACAAACAATGCTAAACAGAAGAACATAAAGTGAAATGAACTTGAACCTATTCTGCTTCTAGTTTTCTTTCCTTTTCCTGTAACAATAACCAGTATAAAATTATTGGTGAGCAATGAGACTCCATAAGTTATGAAAATTAAATAACAATTAAATTACATGATTATAAAACTTACAACATTGAAATCATGAATGAATCAAACTTGTCATTATTTATAAAACAGCATAAACTCATATTTAGCATTAATATTTACTTCTTTTGAAGCCTATATTGAATATCAATATTAGTCTTTTAAAGATTTGTCTAAAATTTCATATGAATGTTCAATGAAGTCTATGTAAACATTGCATTATTAGCATTGAACTACATAAATGTCACTTTTGTCTCTTTAGGAGTCCCTTTTGCCCGACTTAAAATTGCAGGTAACTGATGGAACTTGAGTTGCAAAATTCGGAATCCAAGAAAATAGCCCAAAAATAGTGGAAGAAAAGAAGATTGCTTGGATGAAAACACTCACAAACACTTCCTTTAGTCAAATATCAAAAGACTTACAAGTTTCCACGGATATAATGCTCCCAATTCGAGAAGGGAAGCTTTCTCCCAAGCCCTAGAGAAGAAGAAACCTAAAACAGCCACCAAACAAGATACCTCCAAAATAAACCCTAACTCCCCTTAAACCCTCACATGATCCCCACCAAAATACCCTAAACACCCCTAGGGCAAACAAAATTCCCTCCCTTATTCATTTGGTGGGCCCCTTGGGCCCACCCGCCCCCCTTCTTTCCCTTCGGCCGACCGCCCAGGCAGGCGGGTTCTCCGCCTGCAGTAAACAAGAACCGGCCCTTTTTGGGCCGGTGTTGAAGGTGGATGGACCGGCTGGTCCGGTCCATCAGTAACATATCATTTTATAACCAAACTTTACTAATTTAATATTAAGTAGATTTCACATATTTGTAACTCATACTTGTTTATATGATTACCTACCTTCATAGCAACAAATCTATTATACTAGTTGCATAAAAAGAATATGTATATAATATTTAAAGAATTATACTTCTTTTCCAAATGTTACCAACTGAGCAAAGCTTTAAACAAACACGCTTTATCTTATTTCCACTTGCAATTCTTCATATGAATATGTAGTTGCTTGTTAATGCATACAAAGATGTATGCTCATATTTCATAATTAGAATTATCTTGGCCAGTGGCAGTTGGTGGCGGTCAAGCGAGCTTGCTTGCGGTGTAAATGATTCTTGCTCAAAACTAAGCGAGTTTAGTTTACCAAAAAAATAAGTTAAAATGATTTAAACTACATTTACTTTGCATTACGTTTTCATTCAGCCAAATATCAAAGTTTTCAAAACCCCTGCATTTGAAATACTTTACACCCTCAAAACTTACAACCAAACAGCCCCTAAGATAATTATTCTTCGGCAAAATGTACAAGAGATTTTTCAATTTTGTTTATACTAGCTATTTGTTACTTCTCAAGAAGTGGCCGAGTATGTGCTCATGCTAACCACCATATAGCAATTGTAGTCATTCTAAAGACCGATGTGTGCTGTAGTCAAATTACTTTCTAGGGAATTTTTGTCAATGTTGCCAAAAGGAATGCGACTTCTTGCTTTTAGTGCCATTACAATTAGACAGATGACAGGGATTTTATGCCTTTGAGAAAATGTATAAGGAGATTTTTTTTTCTTGTTATTTTCTATCCAGCTTTTACTTGTAAAGTTGAATCGATATTCAACAAATATACCTAAAAGCACATCACGAAATTGATACTTGTCCTTATGATGTATTTAATTATTTGTTTTTTTTTTCGTTGTACAAATCTAAGATCTTTATGATTCATGGTGTCTTTACTAATTCTATTTTCTACTAACTTATTTTGATTAAAATTAGCAATAACTTATAGCTAAGTTTCTTCTGTTTCAAAACAGGAAGTTCTAGAAAAATGAAAGAGCTACTACTGAAAAGTGATAACCAGGTGTGCGCTGACTGTGATGCTCCAGATCCTAAATGGGCGTAAGTTCTATAACCTTTTTTGGAGCAGATGGACTCTTTTTCTGAGCTATCCCATTTATATTGGATACATTGAGCTATGGCTACGTATAGTACATTTCATAATCATGATCATTATTATCCTTACCCGATCAGCCTCGTTCACCATTCAATTCTTGTTTGTTATTTGTGACCAACATCTGTTTTTCCTGAATAAATCTATTTATTTTCTTTAACCATTCAGATAATTTGAAAGCTGCAAGCTTTACACAATGGTGCAACATATTTATCCTATTCCATGAAAAAGATGCTGATTTTGTAATTTCTCTCTTGTGGAGTTGTGGTCAATTGTTAATTCCTGACATATATATAATCTATGATAGAAGTTAGCCCGACACTTCTTCAAAAAGCTATTTTATATTTTATCCGTGTAGTCCCACAACAATCTATGTCAAAATTCTCATTTTTACTAACATTCTACTCATTTGTGCTATCTTTATTTTTCAACGTTCTGATCTTTCATTACATGGTCTTGTTGAAGTTCTGTAGAATTCTTCCTTCAGTTTCCAAGATATATTTTTTAAAACGAAGCAACCCACATGATTCATCTCCAGATTAACTGATCAGTTTCCTGCTATGTTCTTGCCCACATTACCCTTTTTTTCCTACCATGTTACCCTCAAAGACTACAGTGAGTTGCTTTTTGATCTTCTATAAACTTCTTATTATCAGTCGGATTGTTGTCCAGTAGCATTGCTTACTGATTTTTTTTTTTTTTTCTTACACTTAACTAGGATCCTTGCCTTCTATAACTTTAGTGAACTACTTCCATTTTTGTCTCATCTTGTACAATATCTAACTGTGATAGCATTAACAAATTCAGGTGGGCACATGGAGAGGAAATCTTAAATCCCTACGATGCTCCCAGTCGTATTCTCTTATACTTTTCACCTGTGTGATTTTTTGTCATGCTGATAATCAAACCGACTTGTGTTTATTATACATTGCAAAAACCTTTGTGCCAAAATGGTTAGCAAGGCAGAAAAAACCAAGATTGTCAGGGGCTTCAATATTTGATTCTCGAAGGGAAGGATCTGGCTTAGATGAAGAGTAGGGAAGATAAAGAGAAGAAGAGATGCATGAATGCCTCAAGTCGATGGAGGCTAGAGGTAGTAAGAAATGAAGAAGCGCCTCTAAGCTGTAAGAGGGAGGAATCAATCCCCAATGGGGATGCCAAAAGAAAGTTTTTTTATTTATTTCGCAGTCAACCATCTGAATTGCATGGCCTTAAACGCTATTGATAAATTGACAATCACACTTGAACAAATAAAAAACAAATATCTTCCTAGTTCTGAATGATAAATGACATTTACTCGCTAATAATCATCTTAAAGACAAAAAAGGACAATGTTATAAATTTGACACATCAAATGATACTGAAAAGTAAACTGAAAAGTAAAATGACTAAGGATTGAGATAGAAAACTCACACTGCATCAAAATATTTGTATATCTGAATGTAGATTTTGAATCTTTGCAGATCAGCTAATATTGGGGTATTTTTATGCTTAAAATGCTGCAGTGTTCACAGAAATCTTAGCTCTGATATTTCGAAGGTAGTGTTAAATGTTTTCTCACTTGCTTCAGTTTTTTACTTTTGTGGTGCAATATAACATGGTAATCTTTTTTTGGACTTTTTTTCGCTTTCCTCAGGTAAAATACTCTGGATCTGTAAATATTGCAACTTCAGAGTTAAGCTCAACTTTCTTTCACTGTAATTGATCTCATTCAGGTCTTGTCTGTAACTTTGGATGAGTGGTCTGAGGAAGACATTGAGTCGATGGTTGAGGTTGGTGGAAACTCTTCTGCCAATGCAATCTATGAGGCTTATATTCCTAAAGGAATTTCAAAACCTAAACCAAATGCAACCATTGAGGAGCGCACAAAGTTTATCAGGTGCAATATGTAAATTTCTTTTGTAATAATTTCTTGTGATGGATGCTCAAGATACAATTTTTATCCATAGGTCAAAGTATGAATTCCAGGAATTTTTGAAACCAAGCTTGCGGATGATCTCTTCCAAGAGCTCCTTCAAGACTTGTGCTTCTGGTGTAGATTCCGATTCATTTTACAGCCCAGCCACTTCAAGAAATGCTGTTAGTAATGTAAATTGTTTTTCAGATTTGAATTTCATGATATTTCAACTCCAATAATCAGAAGATCTTTTAATAAATGCAGACAGATGCATCAATATCTATTGGAACTTTGAAGGTCAAAGTGGTTAGAGGAATAAATTTGGCTATTAGAGATTTCAGATCTAGTGATCCTTATGTTATTTTGGCACTTGGGCAGCAGGTTAGCTGTTTGTCTTCATTATTGAATCTAAAGATAAAGATTAGATTTATTTCTAGAGGTAAAGGATTAGGTTTAGATTTATTTCTTTAATAATTTTCTCTTTTTAAGATGTTTTTTTGTGGTTTTGCTTGGACTGTGCAGAAGGTTAAGACTTCTGTAAAACAAAGTAATTTGAATCCAGTTTGGAATGAGGAGCTAAAGTTAACTGTTCCTCAACGTTATGGAGCACTGAAACTGGTAATCATTTACATTAATAAGAAGTGCTTCTTCACTTGAAAAGCCTCTTCTACCTTTATGAGTAATCACCTGATTTTCTATATTTCTAGTATGATATTTTATTTGGTTGCTTTGATTGTCACATGCGCCCAGACCATCTTCAGATATTAATAGTTTTATATTTCTTATTCAAGTTTTAAAAATGCTCATTTGTTTACTGTTGAATCTCGTGCAAGTGTTGCCTTCACTTGATATCTAGTTTTTTCTTGTTCGTAATTATCTTAATCGATAGCCGACCTCACGTAGTGGGATAAAGACTTGTTGTTGTTGTAATTATTCTAATTGATGTGTTAAATGTATTATTGTTTCGATTCAATAATTTGTTAGGATATACATAAAATTTTATTTATATTTATGATAAAATCAAGTTTGGGAAGTTTTTTTTATGGTTTTCGAGTGTGCATAATTTTTGGATTGTTTGGGAGCAGAAGTGTGGATCCTTTGGTGACAGACGGCTTGAGAAGGATTGCAGGTGAAAACTTTTTTATTTAAAGCTGAGGAGTTTATTAGAGAAGAGAGAGAGGTTTGAGAAAAACCACATGAAGGAGATTATTTTTTTTTACAGTGGAATATCATCTTGAGGAGATTAGTTAGAAATTTTGTGCCGATTCCATAGACATATGGGAAGATATCTTTTTGAGGAACTTTTTAATTGAGTAATTTTTTGTATTAGTTTAAACCTCTGTTTTTTATTTTCTATTCCAAGTTGTTTTCTTTTTAATTTACTTTGAAAGATTTGGGGCTTCTCTTTCCTGACTTGTTAAAATAATAACAAATTTCTCTGTTTTTTTAGAATAAAATTGGGTTTGAAATTTTGCTAGGATAACTCTTTAGTTGGGATAATCCAAAATTAAGCTTGATTTGAATTTAAAATCGCCTCCTATTTTAAGTCATGTAAATAGGAATCAACTAAGGGCATAATATAGGGAGATGTGCAAAATTGGTGTGCATGGATTCTTTTGTAATGGATAACTTGAGAAGTGCTACAAGCGAAAGCTTTTGTATGTAAAATAAAGATGTGGCTTATTAAAGAAGAGAGAGAAGCTGAGAGATAGAAAAAAGAAAAAGTTATTTTCTGTGATGATGAAGCATCCTCAACAAAATAGAAGCACCATTATGTTATCTGTAAATTCCATAGGCCACCTTCTTGAGCAGAAATTATTACATATAGATTAATGTTTTGTTTGGGACACCTTTCTTACTATTTCTCAAAGCAGCTACCTAATATAAAAATTTAAATTTTTGTACTAAGAAGCTATTTTAAGAAGTAGTAAGAAAGCCGTCCCAAACGAAACCGCTTCGTTTTGGACGAATTTTTTACTGATTCTTAAAACAGCTTCTTTTGTAGGATTCGTTTGGGACGACTTTCTTACTGCTTCTTAAAACAACTTCTTTTGTAGGATTCGTTTGGGACGGTTTTATTAGTGCTTCTTAAAATAACTTCTTACTACAAAAGTTTAAATTTTATATTAGAAAGCCGTTTTAAGAAGCAGTAAGAAAGTCGTCCCAATCGAAGCCTAAGTAGATAACTCTACATACAAAGTATTGGAGCACACAACTTTATACTCATTGTGTGACTTCATTTAATTGGAATACAAAGTTTTGTATTGATATGCAAATCACTATAAATCTCATCTTATTATAGTACACAACCATAGTACACAGCGAATACTCAGGTTGTGTACTACTATAATCTGCATATAAAACTATAGTTTTTTAAAGACTGCTGAAGAAATACTTTGCCTGAACTGGATGTATTTAGCACAAGCTATCCAGATACTGAATGCTAAGTTCTTCCTCTTCAAAACAGCAAGTCTACGACTACGACACCTTCTCCGCCGACGACATTATGGGTGAAGCTGAGGTTGATCTGCAACCGTTCATTGCAGCGGCAACGGTATTTAGCGACGAAGAGCTGCCTGATGATATGCAGGTTGGGAAATGGCTCAAGTCGAGTGACAATGCGTTGATGAAAGATAGTACCATCAACATCATCGGTGGAAAAATAAAGCAAGAAATACATCTGAAGCTTCAAAACGTTGAAAGCGGAGAACTGGAGCTTGAATTGGAGTGGATTCCTCTGCATCAATAAAACTTTATTCGTGGTCGAAAGCTCTGAATTCGCCGAACTGGTTCGTCGCATTTATTGTCGTAGGCTACCTGTGTATATGTATTTTTTGTAGGTTAGCTTTGATTTATCATAAAGATGCATGATGCTTCTCCTTCACTTTTTAATTGGAACTTTACCGTTTATGGTGTGTTTTGAATTATTATTCATTGAAGTTATGCAAATGATCTAAAAAGAATTGAATTTGAATTCTCATTACAATATATCACATGTTATGATGATCTAATTAGGGCATCTCCAACCGAACGGCAAACACTTGTTTGCCGTTCTTGCTTTGCTCCAACCGACCGTCATTTTTGACGGCATTTGATCGCGGATGAACAATGCGACGCCAATATTGACACTGTTCATCTGCGCCATTCTTTTATTTCTACCGAACTTTGGGAAAAAGGCGCGAATGAAGAGCACGACGGTTTACGGGGCAAAATGGCGTTCCATTGGAGATGAATCACTGCATTTTTTGGTTTCACTGCATTTTGGAGTGAAAAATGAGATTTTCGATTGGAGATGCCTTTAAAAGTTTGTTTAGGATGGCTGCATCATTTATAAAAGTGATTTTTAAGTTTTTGTGGAGAATGTAATTTTTTTAAGCTGCTATAGATATTATTTATCATTGATTGCGGTCTGAAAATTGAAACGATGAGAAAATTGTTTCAAATAAATTCTATATAATAAGATTTGACAATGAATTTTTATTAATAATAATTAAATGTTAACGTTATTTAACTTTGGAAATAAATAATGATTATCCCTATAATTATTTGCGACTATGAGTTTTCAGATTTTCTTTTGAGATTATTGAGTGAATTAAATGCAAATTTAGGAATATTACATGTAGAAGTTTCAAAGTCAATATCTCTTGATTGATAGTTGAAGCTCCCAAGCAACAGATCCATGGGTTGAATGAGTTTTGGGATTCTTGTTTCTATGATATGGGAGCACGAGAATTCATATGTCTCCAAATAGGAGCATTGTATCCAATTCCTCCTGGGTGATTAAGTTTTTTCGCTTGGAGAACTAATTCTGTGCGGACATCAAACAGTTCGGAGGCCAATCAAAACGATGTCATGTCACCCGGTAGCCAGAGTGGTACCCAGTATTGATACCGAACAAAAAAATGATATGGCGCAATCAGATTGATTACCGGACGGCATCCGGTGTCCGCACATAATAATTTATCATTCCTTTGATGGTGATAATGACTTTTCTTTATTGTTTTTTGTGGTGTCATTTTGATGGATGGCTGATAGGGATGCGCTATGGTTAGTATATTTTCAGAATATTTTTATAATTAATGGGTAATTTCCTCACGGTTGCATTTTAGCCCACTCATAAAGATATTTTCTTAAGGTTTTTTGGACATATTGATTTGAGCAATCATTTTTATAAGAAACTTTATATGCCTATTAAACTAAATCACATGGGGGCTCTTTTTTTTTTTTTTGAATAACTTTTCACTTAGTATAATACTTGTTGCGGGCTAGAATACACGCGACGGTAGAGTTAGAAAATTTTCGTCTGAGCATTGTACGAATATCTAGCATACACAAACATGAGATAAAAGAACACCATGATTTTTACGTGAAAACCCTGAAAAGGGAAAAAACCACGGGGCCACGCCCAGTTGAAAAGTTCCACTATTGTAATTTGAGATACAAGAGGCTGATTCTTCTCACAAGTTAGGACGATCAGATTACAATAAGTTTCTTCTGAATTGAAATTCAGTTACAAAGTCGAGCAGAGTTTCGGCGTCACTCGGGCATCCGGCGGGATTCTGGTGTCGTTCTGACGATGGGAAGAACTCCGGTGATGGTCGAGGAGAAGCAGTTCTCTCCTCTCATTCTCTTCTCTTCTTCTTGCTTGGGGTCCCTCTTATGAGAAATAAGGGGTCTATTTATAGTTTTTATGGAGTGGCATGACCCGTACATAGTTGTGAGATCAGGGGCAAATAGGGAGTGGCTGAATGGACGGCTGATATTTAATCCTTTGATCATGCACCGTTCTTCAAAACATTTGAAGGTCTTAGTGATGTCCGAATTCAGCGATCTTGGGCTTGTTGGATTCGTCTCGTCGAGCCGTTCGATTCGACTATAAGCTCGTTAAAATCGGAGACCGTTTGTTAACTCAAATTGTGGTTCGAGCTTTCCAACATCACTTCGGTCACTTGATTTGGGCTCATTTGGGCTCGGATTGAGTTGAATTTGGTGTCGTGGAGTTCGTATTTCTGAGATGCTCAGTTTGACTGTAAGTTTGCTGAAATCGGAGTTCAGATGCTCCCAGATTTAATTTTTGAAGTTTCCGGGTTGATTTTGCCTCGAGATTCGTGCCCGATCAAGATAATTTTATGAGAATATATCAATACTAAAGGCATTGTAATTACCAATTTTATAATCCTAGCTATAAATATTACATCTAGGCCAAATTTTGTTTTTCTTTCTCCTGGAAAATATCATCGGCGTTTAAATTTTTTAGATTTTTTAATATCTGTTCAGTTGAACAAATGATCATTAAGTTCATAATTTTTAATGTCCTTTTTTATAACCTTTACATGCTAAGAAATTTATAGAAATAAAGGGGAATGATTTAATATTTTAGTTTTATATAAAGATATATGATATATCACGTAAAGTTATTTTTTGAAAATTCAAAAAAGAAAAAAAAAATTACAGGGTGTGACCTAATTATAAGTCAACTATCTATACTACTATATAAAAGTGGCTTGGGACTTCACCCATAGTAAATCTTGATCGTTCATTTATAAACATAAAATTAAATCTACACCATTCATTTATAACTCTTCATATTCTTTATTTTTAATTTCCTCCAAAAGAGGCTTGAGTTTCATATTAAATCTATTTCATTGAAGACTTTAAATGCATAACTGAAAAAGCCTTAAATTTCATTAATTAATTAATTACCACCTTCGTTCTCTTGAACTTCCAAAGCATTTAAATCTATTTCATTGAAGACTTTAAATGCATAACTGAAAAAGCCTTAAATTTCATTAATTAATTAATTACCACCTTCGTTCTCTTGAACTTCCAAAGTTGATGCTAAATACTTTGTCTTATTTGATATAGCACATTTGTTTCTTTTTTTGTTTTAGTTGAATTTCACTTGACATTGTAGCTTATCATTTTATTTTGATATTTTAATTTCATATCTTAATGACTATAAAGTTTTATCTTCTAATTATTGTACATAAAATCTATGAGGCTTCCTACTCTTTGGTTGCATATTTTAGATGACTCCTTCCATTCTATTTTCTTGTGATTTCCTTCATTTTGAGGAAACTTTTTTCTTATGATTTGATTATATTTGTATCTTCAAAATCGAAAAAGTCATATATGGAGAAGTGTTAGCTCTTGGTACTGTTCTCTACTTGCGTTAGATTCCAATTAAGTGGTCAATAACATTAATATAGATGAAGTTTGGGAAGCAAGCATACCTCACACTCACCTTGCACATGAGAAGTTTGATCAGAACTTGATGGTTGTGAATGCTCATAAGATACATTTTCCCTGTGATAGCACACATTTTCATCACAGAGGTGACAAATATAAAGCCTCAATTGCAAATGTAAGTTGATTTCTTCTTCTGCCTATTTATGCTATTGAGATTAAATTAACTCCTAGAAAGTCTTTGTGTTGGCTTCTTCTGATTTGTTTTAATGTTTAGTGATTCATTTATCTCAAATATTATTTATTTATTTGTCTATAGAACTGTTAAATCTTAAGAAATTCATCATCCATTGCAATCTCTTTCAAAGCGTATTATTTTTTGTTGAACAATAAAATGAACGACTAATTTTACTTAGTTTATTAGATGGAAGTTGAAGTTCCCAAATAATGTTAATAAACAATGATGCAAGATTGAGAACAATCCTGAATGTTTGTTGTGGAGTCTTAAGTTTTGTACAATTGACAGGATCTTAGTGAGCTTGCTTTGGACCTAAATTCTCCCTTCATGCATTTGTTTTTGTCTTTAAAATTATAAACAATACAGCTCTTATGATAATTTGTTATGCGAGGTGTAGTTCACTAAGTTCCAAATTTACTACGACTTATATCATATATAATATTTATTTGATGAGATTGTATTGAAGTTTCTATTGTTTGTAGTTCACAAAAATCATGCTTCTTTGTTATTTCAGCTTAAAGACTTTTATATGAAGATGATGGTTAAAAGATAATAAGATAATATAAAAGTTTATTCTTTTTATTTTGAAACTTAATTTTATTTCATGTGATTTTTGCAATTTTCTTCATGTAGATTTGTTTTTTTTTAATCTATAGCTTTATTGTTTTATTTATTAATATTTTATTATTTTGTTATTTATCAAGAATGAAAGAATTTTATCATATGAGATTCAGTTTTTGAAAATATGTAACATTTTAAATTCAATTCAAAACATATTTCCTTTTTAACAAAACTTTTTTTATTAAGTTATTTGTCAGTCAATGTAGATGAATGGATTAACAAAAAGAAATTAAATGCAAATAATTGATGGGATAAAACAAAAATAAGTGCTTATGTTGTTCATTTCTTTTAATTGAGTAATAGTACTGTCATCCAAAACAACAAATGATAATTCCAATAAATGATGGACCATATATTTTTATTTAAAGGTTTCGTTGATAAATTTTGTTGATTCAAATTGAAAGATATTTGATGTGAAGATAAATTGATGGAATCATTAATATTTAAGTATTATGTATTTTTAATGACCTGACTCTATCAATTGATCCATATAATATTTTATTATGAACTTATTTTCATTTGGCCTATATAAAAAATTAATTTCCTTTTGGTGTGTTAGTTGTTGAATACTAATTAATTTCGCTTGATATTTTACTTTACTAATTAATCATCCTAATTTTCATATTTTCTTCATCTCTTTGATCAATAAAAGTTAAATCATTGTCACTTAATTTACCTCTTTCCTTATTACATACCACGAATTTGAATTTCAAAAAATTGTTTGTTTAAATCATTTTATGCTATAATTGGTTATTATAAGAGGGTACTGAGCTTGCTTGATGTATGTTTGTAATAGGACATAAGAATATTTTAAAATATAAATAGGAAATGCAAATAAAATTGGATGATAATGGCAATGCTTCTTGAACTTAACTTTCTTATGGGTTCGACAATTGATTATGCATTCCTAAATTATAATTAATGTATAT